CTATCTTTAAAATATTGATTTCTTAATTTTGGGTTGGAAAAGTGAGGGTCATCTTGTACATAGGGGCGTCTTATTGATGGAAAAATATGGTATATGCAACTGTTTAAATGTTTTTGTATAAATGATGAATACGTTATTGTTAAAATGTATAAGATGTTGTTATAGACGAATCTGGAAGATGAACAAGCCAAGAAAGATGGAAGGTCCCATAAATACCTATAGCAGAAGAATGGATTATCTAATGGGCTTAAATGGCAGAATTAATAGTATTAATAAGAGATAATATTGTTTTTTAAATTTGTCTCCGTATGGCAACCCTTCTTAAATTACATGCTTGTTGGGGGGGGGGGAATGAAAGTGTTGATTGTGGGTTTTAATAATTAGGTGGTTTGTGTTGATAGAAATAATGTGAATTTGGATTAACTAGTGGTTAGAGACTAACTTTTTAAAATTTATATTTATACCTGTATGGGAGATAGTCGGAAGTCACTTTCTGTTCTATTCTATCCTCACTATTTTAGTTTTTGTCTTTTTTCTTTTAGTTCTATTTTTATCTTTACTGTATTCTTTTTTGTTTTTAATTGTATTTTTAATATAATATAATAAAGTTCTTATTAAAAAAAAATTTGCTCAAGAATTCATCTTCCAGCTCCCAAAAAGAGAACCCCCTCCCACTGCAAAGAATCTAGAATTGGGTTGACAACATACCCTCATTCTTATAAAATCTGTGCTGTTCCTCACCACAAGACATCATAAATTATAATTATCATTAGCACTCTCTGGTTTTACAATAGATTTATGCCAGTGTGAAGTTCAATCTCGGCTTGCTCAATTCAGTCTTGAGTAGAAATTCATAGAACTTGAGTCAAATCTTTGATGGATTGGATTGCTCAGCCTGTAATGATCACCTGACAAATTCCTCCTTGTTTGATATTATTACTCTATCTGTAATATTGGTTCCTTGCAATACATAAGTTTTTGATTATGTGCCATTAAGTTGTTTTTGACTCCTAGTGGCCATACAGATAGATTTTCTCCATGACAATCCCTAACCTGTTCTTTCAGTTCTCCCAGTGGTGCACTCATCAACATTGTAATATGTACCATTACATTTTCTCCTTTTGTGCCTTTGGAAAAATGTTCAGGGAGTTGATGAAATAAATTGTAGGTAACCTGTTTTTGCAGCATTTGGGATATGGTACATTCTCTTTTATAAGTTGATTGGTAGGTTATATTGAGGTTTACGTGCTAAGAGAAATCTATTTATTATTCAGGAAATGTCTATGCCACGCACACCCTCAACGGCTATGGGCACCTTACAAAAATACAATAAAAACAATAATAAAAACTTTTTTTTTTAACACAATGCATAATTCAGCCTTGGAATTCACTTACTTGTGTGATGTGGTGCCCGATACCAGGTTGGCTTTCTTCAAAAAAGGGTTGGACCAAATTATGGAAGTCATAGGGAACCATGCCTATTACCTTGATGGCCATGGGACTGCCTTTGAAGGCCATCCTCTAGGAGACTAGTGGGCTTCCTGATGCAGTTGTTGGCCACTGGGAGAACAGACCGCTGGACCGGATGGGCCAGGGGTCTGACCCAGCAGGGCACAGCTTATGTTCTGATGATGGAAAGCCGCTGTGCTTGCTCCTCCCTCCCTCCCTCTCCCTAATTGGAGACACAACCACGATTCTTCTGGAAAAGAATATGAAGTATGGGGAAAGGACAGAGATGCTGAAATGGAAGCTAGAAACAAGCATAGAATCATTGCTAAGCTTCTAAAGGAGCAGACATAGAAATAGGAGATCTAATATGGTAGTAAAATACAGAAATGGGGGGACACAACCATATAAATCTAGAGGAAAACATAGATAAGGATAAGACATATATTTGGCCATAGGGCTAGAATTCAATAGATTTAGCCAGTTTAATGATGAGGTCCCAGAAATAAAGTCTAAATACAGATCTGCAAAATGAACAGAAGCTTACAACTTTATTTAGAAAGGTAATATTTCATTTTATGTAATAAAATGGAGAGATGAAAAGAAAAACAGTTGGTGTCTAAGACTTGTTAGATCTCATTGAGCCTGGGATCAATCCAATCTTTATTTCACTCAGGGAATCTACCACAGTTTCACTCCTGTTTTTAAAGCTCTCCTTTTTTTAAAGCTCTCTCTTTTTTTTAAGGAGCCACATCTGTTCTGTATGAAAGGCCTGAGCAAAACACATGGGGTTTCACCTTTTGCTCTGGGAGGAGAATGTGAAGTCTGTAAGAAATTAAAAAAAAAAAAATGAAAAGAGATACTAAGGGTAAATTGAAGGCATTACACATAAGAGTACTTATATATACTTCAGGTTTAGTCCATAAGTTGTTAAATTGGGTCCTATTTTGAAGAGGTGAAAGATAAACATTAACCAATAATAATAGAGCATTATTAAATGTTAACAGCACAGACAGTGCATAGCACTCCATTGGGTCTAACTGTATAATATTTGAATGTAGTTAGGTTGAAATTTGTATACTTAATCCACCATACAATCTGCCTCATCCTGCTCCAGGGGATCCAGTGAGAAAGATTTATACCCACTTATATACAAGCTGTTGTCAAGCCAGGTTTCTTGGATTAGGAGTAGGTCGAATTCAGCAATGTAATTTATGAAAGGAGAGTCTTTGGATTGAGTGTTCCAACCTGCAATATTCCATGAGAGAATAGATAGTATAGCACTGAAGCTATACTCCGCTAAGGCTCACATACAATTACTCTTTGGTGCCCAGCTAGGACCTTATTCTTCCTTTACTCCTCTGGAAAGGGTTCAATCCAAATTCCTAAGGGCTATATTTCAGGCAGCCCCTTGCATTCCAAATGTAGTATTAAGGAGGGAAGCAGGGTTATCCAAAGTTGAAGCAGGTTCATGGATTTGTATTATAGCACATTGGCTGAAACTACTGTTTTTCCCTATAGATTTGGCTTCTCTCCTTATTAAGGATAATTATAAATCAGCATGGTCCAGGACTATCCTACAAAAACTTTAACATCTTGGCTTTTCTAGGGAGGCGTTCCTAATGATGGGCTATGGGCATGCAGTCAGTGAATTTAAACAGCGTATCAAAAACCTGGAAGTCCAGCAGGACCAGTCTGCTCTACCTAAGAATGTTTTTCTGAGCAGTCAAGCCTTTTTTTATAAGCCAGCAAGATACCTAAATTGCATAACTGTCTCCAAATTCCAGAGGGCACTAACTTTAGCACGCTGTAATGCTCTTCCTACAGCAGTTTTGGAGGGCCGATACAAAAAAGTCCCATATGAGCTGAGACTGGGCCCTGTGGACAAGGGGCTATTGAAACTATAGCACATGTCCTGCTATACTGTATTTTCAATAAGGACTCACTGACCCATTTAATAACTCATCTGGTAAAATATCCAGGAAATTCTGATCTTTTTTATGTGCAGCTGTTGCTATCTGATCAGAAGGATTTAGTCTCCTTGAACGTAGCTAAATTTTGTTATACTGCTTGTAAAATTAACCAGACTGGCCCATTGATGATCCTGTACAGATCCAATCTGTAAATATATTTTTATGCTTTCTTTCATTTCATTTTAATGTATTCTTAATACATTTAATGCATCTTTAATGTACTTTTATTTGTAACTCTGGTCTGTGACCGTAATAAAGAAATACTAATACTGAAAGTATTATGTTTTATTGGTACCCAAAAGGAAAGAAAGGTAAAACTTAACAAGCTTACTTAGCATATTGATCACACACAACCTCCAAGTCCTTTGTTGACCTTGTTAAATAAGTTGTGTGAATCCAGCAGTAGGTTGAAAAGTTTCTGTGTACAGTAAATGGAGGCAGAATATGAAAATAAGTGACTGGGCATACAGGAAACATTTATCATAATAATGAATAAGTATACTGTAATTAGTTTTATGCTTGTCATGGTGTTTTTATGCCTGTGTGGGGAACAGCACAGAGTTTGTAAGGGTGTGGATGCATGATCAACTGTACAACGGGTGCTTGATTGAGTTCTTTCACCCCTTCAGGCAGCTGGAAGTGGAAGGCCCTCAACAGGCTGGTGAGAAAGATGAAGGTCTCAATTCTTGCCAGCTGCTCTCCCACACATACATGCTGACCTGTAGATGAGACAAGGCATGCAGAAAGGGAATGACAATTTATTCCCCAGAGTATATCCCCATCAGCAAATAAATCTGAAAAGATTTGTAAGAGCCCCAGAAGATTTCCAAATGGAATCTTAGTAACTTCTAGCAGATTAAATTACTAGAGGGGTTTTCTCCCTTTTACTCAGTTTGTTGACACCCCACTGGGTGATGACTTGAACTCAGGTTGCACTAGTATATAATCTAATGCTACATCATTTCAAAGGCAAAGCTATGCACCCCTGAAAAAATGGATCTGGCATGTTTTTCCAGAGATCAGCCTAAAAGAGGGAAGTCACTTTCTCAGCTCTCTGTCCACCAACTTATTCTACAGTGCATCAGGCTACAGGTGAAATAGAGGAAGGTGGTATGGACATGATCTATAGGAATTCCCTTTCACTGACGAAGCACCTATTCGGACAGTTTTCCAATCTGGTACATTTGCTTGCTACAGCTGTCTGTCTGGAGGAATGTTGGGAT